ACGCCTCGCAAAAATCGGAGTTTATGGTTCGAATATTCCAAATATTGTAATTGATGACTTTTAGAATGGCTATTTCTAAAGATTTTCTTTTTAAACATTAGTATTCTGACGTTAGTGCAATCTGTTTTGCTGTTTTCTTGACATCATTTGTAACTAACACTCAAAATTTTGTATTGATTATCCCATATACCGTTTTCTTACTTCACAATAGGTCGCATTTCTTTGCGAGTGTAGGTGTGGGTGTGGCTCTTCTCTTTTCGCATTCACATCTACACTCACACCCACACCCACACCCTTCGAATTAATTTAATGGTCAGTTTTTGATACTTTCTATGGATACAATGATAATCCATTGTATAAACAAATACTCTTGAGATTATAAAGTGTATTCGATTTACAAAAAGTCAAATCACTCTTATAGATACTCTTAATAGAAATGAGGATCCATTGAGTTTATTCGAGACAAAATAAACTCACGGTAATTAGAGATTTATTCTCATTTTTGGATACGCATGACTTCTAATTCAAATTCAATAAGGGTATTAATTTGAGTATGAATTTTCTTTTGACTCACAATCACAACGAATTGACATTTGTTTTAAATGCAGAATGAAAAAACGAAAATCTTTTTAAATATTTTTATAAGTATTTCAAATAATTTTACTTAGTTTTCATTGTTAATTAAGCCATTAGAAAGCATTTTATCATGTAAAAACAATCCGTAAAATTTTAATAATGTCATTTGAAATTTTTTTTTCATAGTTTGAATTTGATTACGAAGAAAATTATTTGAAATCAATTAGCTAGATCATGTTTAATATTATTTGAAAGCAAAAAACAAAAAATTTTAATAAAACATTTCAATTCCTCACAACTTAAAAATGACAACAAAAATAATTTGAATTCGTTTCTCATTTCAATAAAAATAATTCATTTAATTTCATTAAAATATTTTATTTATTAAAGAAGATTGTTTTCTTGATTTCTATTTCGCTTTATTCGATTGTTTTTACATTAAAATCATATAAAATATTTTCAATGTTAGAAAGTAACTATTAAACAAACCTTTATATTTATCATTTTATAAAATTTTTATCACAATTTTCACTAATGATTTTTATTCGACTTTTTATTAATAAATAAGAAATAATGAAAAACAGAACATTTAGTTTAAATTTAATTCTTACACAAATAATTTATGTATTTCAAAATAAATATGATACAAATTGATTTATGTTCATTGATGATCATTAATTTATTCATCATTTGAAATTCGAGTTGTTATTAGCTTTCATTGAGCATTAAAAAAAAAGTTTAACAGATTTTATTTGTAAATAATGATGAGCATAAAATTAAATCATTGTGGAAAATAAATTTTCTTAGAAATTGTTTTCAAATAAGAGAAAAGATATCCAATATGATGATTAATCTGATTTGTTTAAGAACATGTCATGAGAATTTTTCAGCAAAAAGAACGTATGTTAAAGAAAAAGAAACAGATGGATAAGATAAAAGTTTTCTTCAATTAAAGATAAGTCAATAAAAAATTATTAGGAAATTACTTAATCATGAAAATATCAATGATTCAAAATATTTGTTTTGAGAAATAGTTTCTCAGTATATTTTCAACTATTTCAAATCTCTAGTTTTTCAAAAAACTTTAATGAAAGTTATCTTCATGAGTGATAAATAAAGTATCGAACCAAATTAAACCATTTATCGAGTACTGACATAAAACATTTAGAGCAACAAAAAAGTTATTTCACATTTAATTAATGTTAATAAAAAATGATGAATTGTAAAAAAGATCTTAAAAACTCATTTAATAATCAATCAAAGAACAAATCAACTTCCAATTTTATATTTCACAAAGTAACCATTCGATTAACAGTGAATTTAAAGAATTCTTCGAATAAATTACATTTTTTTCTAATTGCTTGTATCTTTTTATTTAACAAATAACCATGAACTTTATATCAGATTATTTCACAGAAATCCATTTTAATTCGAACAACCTTATCCACATTTTTACAACGAATTTAAATTAGTCTAACGAACTTTATTCATTAGATCAGCTAAAAATTAGATATCAACTTTTTTTTTCAATATTCATTAAAAAGTATAAGAAAATATTTTATTTTTACTGATAAAATCATGTATTGAAAAGAGAAAAGAATTGTTAACCGTAATTCATTCACAAAAAATAAACTCATATTATCATATAAAGTTTTCGATGAATTTACCTTCACGTATATTAAACAAAATTCCATGTAGAACTTTATAACTGTATAAAACTATAAAACGATAAATAGCGAACATTTACAATTACAAATAAACGTTCGAACACAAAAACAGAAGTTTTTCATCGATATTCACATTTGATTTCTTTCTATACCATTTAACCAGTTTAGCTTTTCCCGCTAAGTCGACAAATATTCATCTTGGTTCTCTGTCGACTTGGATGGTTAACAGAAAGAAATTTCTTATTAATAGTCAATGCGTGGTGAATATAATTAAGTGCCATTTTTCGCTTGTTCCGACTTTCATAACAAACACCAATCTTATTCAAACTGTCAGCAATGTTGACATGATCAGATGGATAAAACTTTTCTCTCATTTTCAATGCTTGTTGATAATAATCAAGAGCTTCATCATATTTTCCTTGGTTATCGAAAATAAGATCGACGTTATTGAGCCTTGTAGCAATATCGATATGACCAGAAGAATGAAGTTTTTCTCGAGAGTGTGGGCGTCGGTCTGAGTGAGTGGGTATGGCGTGTGGGTGTGTGTGTGAGTGTAGTTGGGTGTGAATGTGGATGTAGGATGTGTAGCTCCACGAAATTAACAGTCACACCCACATCCCACACTCTTAGAGTTCCTCAAAATTTCAAGGATTTTTGCAGTCTCTTCTCAAGTTTTCATCCTCTTGGTTTTATCAATACGTTTTGCTTACTGATGTTTCATTCCTATATGTTCGATTACGATCTAATTGAGACACAGTTATGCCGTAAGTGTGATCACACTGTGATCCATAATTGCGAAAAACTACGGCGTGATTACACGCAAGTGCGATACTTTCACATTTACTATGCGGCACTTCGATTCTTTCATCGTAACTATGCGTAGGTGCGTCACAGTTTTTCGAGCTATGATTAAAATGTGACGTAGTTACGCTGCAACTATGTCTCACTTCAATTGTAATTTTTCGCAATTATGCGTCACACTGCTATTGCTAATACCGTGTAACTATGCCATAGCTGCAAGACAAGAGATGACATGGATTATTCTTGTTAGAAATGCAATATTATCATTACTTTATTGAGTTTGTATCATTATTTCACTTATTACTATCCATGAAAAAAAATTTTGCATAAAACAGCGGTTCAAAGCCAAATTTCAATAAGAAAACTATTTTTGCGTTTAAACGCATTATTATTTATTGCAACGCTTTTAAACGCGTTTAGAAGAAACGCAGCTTTCATCCTCAACCAAAGCCATATATTACATTGCTCGAACGCATTCCCTTGTATGAGTGCGGACTCATTCATTTTTCATGCATTCGAACTCTGTATTTTTTACTGTTATTTTACTGAACAAACAAGGGTGTGATGTGGGTGTGGATGTCGACGACGGCGTGGTTGTGAATGTGGGTGTGGATATACTTAGAGACAAGACTAACACCCACACCCTCTTTGTTTCGGAGTGATCGGACTTTCGATTAGCTCCGAGCACTCGAGAACAATTGGAGCAGCTGAAAAAAGGATTCGATGAGTTTCTTCTCATCGAGCGGTCACAAATTCGATGAGTTTCGAAGGCTCGAAAAGGAAATCGAATTACGACAACTGTACAATAGAAATATTTTCTCCCGAGTGGTCGAAAATCCGATCGTTTTCGAGCACTCGAAAACAGATCGTAGAGTAGAAAGTAAAGATTCGATGAATTTCTTCTCGTGAAATCATCACAAATGAGATGAGTTCCGAGTGCTCGAACACAAATCGACTAGTCGAAAGAAAAAAATCGAGAGGATCGAAACACTCGAGGACTCGGTTTTGGATATTTCGAGGGATGCAGATTTGGACAGAACGAACAAATCATAGTCGAAATTATTTTCGAGCCCTCGCCGTACCTCTTCAAGACTTTTTAAGGTTTGCTTGGTGGTTTTGCGTCATGAAATTGAGGATGTGCGCTAAGATCTATAGGTATTTGCTGGTATTTGCAGGTATATTTCGTTAGAAACGATGCACCATACTTTTGTCATTCCAGTATTCTTGTAATGATGTTATATTAGCATTCGAATTTCGAACCATTTTCTTATCTTCATACTTTCATTATGCTGAGTCACATCTTTTTATTTCATGACACAATACATGTAAAGATTACATATTATTCTAAAACTATTATTTTGATATACGTGAACATGCGAAAATAATTTGACTAATTTTAGTTGCTGTTAATTGTTCTTATAATGACATTCATTTTGGTTTATCTCAATGGTCAGGACATAAACCAAAAATGTTAATAGATCAAGTTCCTGCTTTAGAATTTGCTGATAATACTTAATTAACTCAATCATTAACTATTGCTTGCTATCTACCATACGAAACAGGTCTAGCCAAAAAAAAAACAATCTTGAATCTGTTAAAATAAAAGCAGTTTTTGATACACAATGTGATATTAAGAAAAAACTTTATATTTCAATTGATTTTAAAAAATAAGATTTTAAAAATTTAGATGAAGTAAAACAGTTTATTAATGAAGATCGATACTATTCATAATAACAAAAACTTCAAAAAAAAATTTCTATAGTATCTCTCTAATAAATTAATATGATTTTATTCAAGAAAAAAACCCTCACCCTCACACTCTCAACTCAGTTATGTATTCCCCACAAAAAAAATAAACACATTTCAAAGTAGAAAAATGAAGTGAGATAAATATTACAGATGATAAGAACATAAACATGTAACAATGCTCCATGCCTCAGAATTAAATTGGTGAAGATGCATCTTCTTGTGTTGCTCGTTCTTATAGTTGGATGTTGGTGTGATATAAACATATTAGTAGACCAAAAAGGCGGGTATAATATTAGTGTTAATGGTCGTATATGGCTTCGTTCAGCTCGAACAGCTATATATACAGATAACAAGTGGTATTCATCAGCGGATGATTCTCTACCATTAATTAATATAACTTATGCACAAGGTAATGATTCAAATTTAGGTATTTGGAATGAAACTCAATTAATCTATGATCTTGTTCGAAGTGAAATACATACAAAAATAGTAGGTCATATACGTCAATGGAATTCAATTTCTGCAATTACATTTCATTTGGATATTGGTGATCAAGTGATGATTAATACGATTCCTCTTGACATGGAACATGTTCGTACAGTTTTTCCATCATTTTATATTGAACAAATGGATAAGAATGATCAAAGAGGTTATTTTACGTTTTCAGGTAAGATTTTTTGTTTTTTGTATTATTCTATTTTTGTAGAATATTTTCATTTAGGAATGATGACAGGTGAAGATGATAGACATGCAGGTAATTTGGATTCATCAAGTATAGTTATTGATTCAGGAATGGAAAGTGGTCCAATAGTTATTTTTAATTTTACTCAACAAGGCGAAAATGATGTATTAATTCTTTCATCTTTTTCTCAATTTATGGCAACATCATTAAGTCAAACAAATAATATATTAGAATATGGTATTATGGGTTCAATAATATCCATACCTGCAAATTATAATTATTCAATGATTATATTTTATTCATCAAAAGGTATTAATGAAGGTATAAGAGAATGGGGTAAAACAATGCAACAAGCATATAATCGAACAAATCAATATCGTCTTAATGATTTAACTATTAATTATCTTGGTTATTATACAGATAATGGTGCTTATTATTATTATAATACAGAAAAAGGAATAAATTATGAAGAAACTTTGATTAATATTTATCATCAAATTCAACTTCCATTTCATTATATTCAATTAGATTCATGGTGGTATTATAAAGGTCTTAGAGATGGTGTTTCTCAATGGATAGCACGACCAGATATATTTCCTGATGGTCTTCAAATAGTTCATCGTCGATTAGAAAATCTTCCTTTAGCTGCACATAATCGATATTGGTCATATGATACTATTTATAAACAAAATTATTCTTTTGCTCTTGATAAACGAACTGAAAAAGCATTACCTATAGGCAATGATTCATTTTGGATTGATTTATTCAATCAAGCATATAATTGGGGTCTTATTCTTTATGAACAAGATTGGCTTAATCATCAAACAATTGATTTTTTACCAACACGTACTGATATTCATATTGGACATAATTGGTTAATATCAATGGGTAAAGCAGCTGAAAAATTAGGAATAAATATACAATATTGTATGAGTTTATCACGTCATATTTTACAAGCTTTAGAAATTCCACGTGTTACACAAACACGAGTATCAAATGATTATGCTCTTCATTTGATTATTCCAATAATATCTCAATGGAATATTGGAATATCAAGTATGTTTGCTGATGCAATTGGTTTAGCACCATTTAAAGATGTTTTTTGGTCTAGATCATTAGAACATGGTTCTCCTTATCCACCACTTTCTATGGAAATATTACCAGATCGAGAAATTTTAATTGCAACTCTTTCAACAGGACCTGTTGCTTCAGGTGATGGAATTAATTATACAAATATTGAACGTATAATGAAATGTTGTCGTAAAGATGGTTTAATTTTAAAACCAGATCGACCATTAACTATGATTAATATATTAATATCTGATTGGGCTTTTTATAAAAGTATTTCACAAGGAGAACTTTATTCAACAAGAACAACAATGTAAGTTTTTTTATTTTTAGTCTTCTAACTATAATTTTATGTTTAAGAAATAATCAAACATTTCATATCATTTTTGCATCAGCTATGAAACGAGATTATTTAATTTATCCTTCAATGATTGAAGCTCAATCTGGTATTATTTGGTCATATAATAATGCAAATGTTGTATCAACTTTCGATAATACTAATCCTTTGAATGTTTCAGCTAATCAATGTAATGACTTATCAGTATGCCTTTGGTATGTATCTCCTTTATGGGAATTTAATGATTCAACTAAAACAAAATATGCTTTTCTTGGTGAATGGAACAAATGGACAGCTATTAGTCAACAACGAATCGATTCTATTGTCACTAATCTAGAAAAAACTCAAACAACAATTACTCTTCAGGGTGAACATTATGAAATAGTTCAATTAGCTGTCTATCATCATTCTTTACCTTCTTCTATTATAAGTTGTCAAATTTCATCTGATAATGCTTTTGGACAACTTGTTATTACTCCATCCGATGTGTTTTGTCGTTAAATAAATAGAAAAATAGAGTAGTTTGTTTTATATTTAAAAACATAAATAAATACATTTATTTTCAATAATTATATAAGACTAGCGAGAACCAGTGCATACTGCACGGCTGTTTTCTCCTTTAACGTATGATCTTAGACGTTTAACTTTTCATCCGGTAACAGACATACAGACACCCGATATTATGTATATAGATAGATAGCCTTATGGCCTGATACTCTTATATCGCACATATTTTTATAGTCCAGGTAGCCTTAGGCCTTATAGCCTTATATCCCTTGTAGCTCTTCTAGCCTTATCTCCTTATTGCTTTACCCCTTATTACCTACCCGCTTACTGCTTTACTCTCTTGAGAGCCTATGGGTACACCCATATAATAGTCCTTAACCCTTAAAAGCCGGAAGGCCTTATCGTCGCAATTTGAACAAGTTATTCGGTAAAACAGAAGGTGTAGTATCTCAATAAGAATCATTGATAATAAAAACAAAAAGAAAATTTTTTCTTATGGAGATATAAAATGTCCCTTGGAAGGGACATTCGGTCGTAACGGTCCAAAATTTTTCACTGTTATCAATTTATGTAAAAGCAATTTTTTCTTTAAAATACCTCTATTTATATGTTTCTTATTACTCAAGAAACTAATTCAAGCAATATTTTACAATTTTTCAAAATTTACACACTATCGGTTTCAATGTAAGTCTCGCTCAAACTTTTCGGCCCGTTAAGACCGAATGTCCCTTCCAAGGGACATTTTCTTCATACTATCACTATGTATCAACAGGTAACTTAAAAATTTAGGGAACAGTTTCATTCGGTAGCTTGCCTTTGTGTCTCTCAGAAAAGCCAAAATTCACGCTAATTCATGCTATATTTACGAAAAGGCATACATTGCAAAATACAAAATTGCATTTAAAAAATTCATGCATTTTCCAAAACCTGCTGCGTCCCCTGACAGTCGATTTTAAGAAATTTCTTTTCACTCTATACTCTATTAGGTCATCAAAGTCCAAAAAAGTATTGGTCCATGTCTCAACGATTTTTTTACGTCTCCTATAGCGTTTTTTCAAATGTCCCTTGGAAGGGACATTCGGCTCTTAAGGGTTAAGGACCTATGGGTACCCCTATATAGTAGCCCTCTAGGACCTATGGGTACCCCATATAATAGCCCTTGAGGGCCTATGAATACCCCAATATAGTAGCCCTTGGCGCCTTCCCCTTATAGCCTTATTTGACCTTTAACCTTTGATCTTTGACTCGGCACAGACACACACTGAACATTATATATACGTATAGATAATCATTGACCATACTTAATGGTAGTTTAGTCAAGGAAAAAGCAATGAATTTCAATATTTCAAAAGATATCATGAAACTGATGAAGGTGCATTAAATTTTCCTAGTATCGTTAATAAAATTTTCATAGTTAGGAAAAGAGTTTCATTTTGTTAGGAATGCTATGTTAGTTTTGAGAGTCTTGAGATCATATACTTTGACGCTTTTAATTATATGGTGTGTTTTGTTTTTATATCAGATTATTTCTTTTTTCGTACGTTCTTTGTAAGCTTACTACCATCTTTCACGTATCCAGCAATATAATTGAGGATGTGTTTTGATCACCAATAGACTGCCTCGAGGAGAAGCTTTCTTCTAGCAGATATGAAGTGGAATCTAGTCTAACACTTTTATATTGAGCTTGTTCTTAAAAACAAGTACGTTCGTTGTTCATCGAGGACATGGAAGTCAACTAATTTGTAGTCAAAACCTTGTTGGTATTCAATGAGCTTCATAGTTTGCTACTTATTGTGCATCACATCGGTGTTTTAAAAAATTATACTGAAGACAACGGTGCACGCTTTATTAAGACGAATTTTCATTATATGTATGTTGTAAGAAATATTTGCACAAATTTAATTTGATAGTTTTTACTAATTCAGATTTCTTTCTAAATCTATTTGATAAAATTTCAAATCACAAAAGATTCTAAATAGTTGTTAACATAATAAAAGATTAAAGCAATTCTTGAATTTTTGTTTAAAATTTGAATACAAATAAGACAGATAGTTTGTCTGACGGTTGATTATTTTTAGAAATCAACTAGGATTTATTACATATTATCCATTTTTCATATTTTGTCTTAGCATCATGTAGCTTAAGATATGTGAGTTTCACATTTTAGCCCCAAGGAAGCTGCACTAACAAGCTCTTTTTATGAAGAGAAGTGAGAGGAATTTCGTCCCAGGCCGAATTTCAGGTGATATTTCGGGCCGGACCGAAATTCTGGCCTCCCATCCCAAATATCATATTAGTTTTAACTCAACCCGTGGTTTTTCTGACTGAAATCTATTAAATACCACCTAAAAAGACTTAAAAAATCATGTCTAGAGAATGATGTGCTTAGGATGTCTCAGGTGACCAGTGTTTTTGAGAGTTTGGAAAGTACATGGTTTTGTAGCTATTAAAAAATTCTATCGACTAGTATATAAAGATTTACTTCAATAGAATCTTATGGGCCTCTATCAGTCGACAAACCAATCAGCAGAACTAGATTTTCAGTTTACATAGCACTGGGCGACAATGAAGTGACATATACTAGACAGCAATATTTTTTTTCAAATAGACTTGTTCTTATAGGAATCGACGCAGAATTGAATGTTCTATCTAATGAGACTATCCTGAAGTAAAATTGGTATCGTTATGCAGAGTTATGAGCAAGATACCTAATGACTCTAACGACAACTCTGATGATAAGTTCTTAAATGTAGTATGTTGGGTTCTTATCACCCTGATATTATCGAATCGATTTGAAATCACTACCAAATGACTGAGCGTAAAATTCTGCATCGAATGACATATATGATTTGGAAAAATTAGGAATAGACAAATTTGACGTCTTATGCGTTCTCTTCCTTTTATTAGAATATTTTTCCGAACATCATGATTTCAATCATTGAGTCTTTGTCGCTATGCAATCTCGACTAAGAATATTTCAACTTGAGAGAATTGGATAATTGACTCGTTAACCGAGTTCTATGAAGTGAAAATGAAGAAACTCTTTCAATGAATTTATCCCTTTGAGGACTGGTGGTTCATTTTTGGACCACCTATTTTTCAGTAAAGAAAAAAGTGGTTATTTCACATTAAACTATTAAATATGTAAGGTCATTAAGCTCATAAACAACTACACTTGTCATGTCATACTTTTCTTTTCTTTCTTTCCTTCTCGCATATAAATTCTTTTCAAATATCATTTGTTCTTGCTGCTGAGGTACAGTGACGTCATAATTTCTATCTTCTCCTCTGATCTTTTGTTTTTCGGAAATATTCTCATTCTCTATTCGGTATATATATATATATACTTCCGTTCTCATTGATGAATTTACATTGTTCTTAATTTTGGAAACGATTTATTGTTCCTCTTTCGCTTAGAAGTGAAAGAATGTCGTGATCTTTAGATACAAGAAGTGAAAACAATTATCACATAAATTCTCAAACTTTTTATATCCTAGATTATTAAGCAAACCTCGTTTCCTTTTTCGTTCAGAGAAAACTAATACTACTTGTACTCTTATTCTTTTATATTCTGTTTATAAGGGTGTGGGTGTGTGGGGATGGGCACCGTATTTGAGTACAACAACACCCACATGCGCATCCACACCCCACCCACACCCACACCCACACCCACACCCCACCCACACCCTTATTTGACAGAATTCTCTCTTTGACCAATTCATATGACTAAATTTTTATTATTATTATCTCCAATTTGAGCTTCTGAACAATAAAAGAAACCTTTTCGATAGATTTTCACAATAAATATCATTAAAAACTTAATATGTAACTCGAGTTTTATGCGAATGATTCTATTGAAAGTTTAGTCATTCGAACTTATTTTCATCATAAACGCGATCATATCTTCAAAATAGAATGTCTTTTTTGATACGATTTTTCTTAATCTCATCAAGATTTATTTACAAAACTATAACTTGCAAATAGAGATATTCTGGGCCAAGGTTTTTTGGTCTCGAGAGATCTATTTCAGAATTTATTCGTTTCACATAAAAAAATATTCTTCAATTGTAGTTATTCGATTAATTTGACGAACGACTAGCGATTTTTTGGATCATCTTTCTTGAGTTATGTTCTGATTGATATGATTTATAAGATAAATCGCTTAAAACCATAGAATATTTAACTGGAGGATGAGCCAAAAGTCATCAGGCAATCTTTAATTTAGAATAACTTTTGATAGGATCAAGATAAAAAGCTGCGACTTTCACCATTCAAAACAGAGTCTGTTACTACGAAGTTCTATGTAGTATTCAACAATACAGATTGTTGACCTAATAATCAGTTAGTAATCTTTAGCAAGATTTTGATAACTTTATGAAAAGAACATAGAAGTTCAATTCAACGAAGTGGCTTCAATTCGTGTACTCACGAGTTACGCTAATGCCAACAACTGAACCTATTATCTTCTTCTGATAGAGAGTTTTAGATGCAACACTAAATAGCGACAATGACGAGCATGATTCACAAGTACACGATTCTAACGTACCCTTTAGGATTGAATTTCAATGTAATTTTTATAGAGCTACCAATATTTTGTCCGAAGACCGCTGACTGATTACCATAGCAACAACCCAACCGACCATCCGATAGGCATTTCGACCCCTCGATTTTCCACCGTCGATGTCTTCTAAGATACCCATCGCCGAGCCCTCGACCCATCGGAAAATGGCAAACCCAGGGGTCGATTTGAAATTCCGATGGGCAGACCGCGTGCTCCAGATAGCACCACGATACATATTACGAAAACTTCGATCCTATGCTTCTGCTAACTATCAAGTTACTCACCATCTAGCCTTGGACCCATCGAAATTTCAAATCGACCCCTGGGTTTGCCATTTTCCGATAGGTCGAGGGCTCGGCGCACCCCTCGCACGTCTTTTTTAGCTCACTTGGGAAGCAGCACTATTGAATAGTATATGTAGTAACAGAGCCTCTTTTGAATGGCGAAAGCCGCAGCTTTTTATCTTGATCTTATCAAAAGTTATTCGAAATTAAAGACAGCTCGATGACATTTGGTCCACCCTGTATTATCTTTAGTTCCGGTTGGGACAACTTTTTTCGCAGTCCCGATCCAGACGTTGGTAAGTTCTTGTTCCCACAGTTCCGACAAATCTTCAAATTTTGGTTCTACACGCGAGCCATATCATAGACAATTTTTTCTTTCAGCATTGTTCAATAGTTTTGTTTTAATGAAATGCAATATATTTTTTATTTATTAAAAATAGGAAATGTATCTTGGGAACAAGTACTACAAAATGGATCAATAAGTGGTGGTCCTTCATATGCTAGTCAAGTTGATGCTTATAATTCAATATCATTAAGAACAACAACAACAGCGGCAGCAAACTTAACAGAAAATGTTGACCTTCGTCGTCAAAGTATAAAACATTTGAGTGGAATGATTAAATGTGCTCCCCAAGACACTGAACAAATTACAGATGCAGTCATTCTTGGTTTGTCTTATCTTAGATACTTTGTGTTTTTTTTAAACTTGATAAATATGTTGTTTATATAGAATTAAAACCTCGTTTAGCTGCAAAGACTATATTCCTGGACTTCCAGCTTATATACTTTTAATGTCTATTCGATACATTGATTTTGTTGATGATGAAGCACATGTTGCTGGATTTTTATCTGCTGTAACAAAAAAAAGAAATTAAAAAAGTTCCAAGAGTAAGAATAAATATTTTTTTTCTTCTCATTGAATATTAACAAAAACAAAAAAGTTAACTTGAATTATTATAGAGAAATGAAGATATTGATTATCCAATACTATCGATAACAAATACAGTTCGATATCTTCATAGATTACAACAATATAGTGCTAAAGAAGTATATTTATTATTTAATATAATTAATAAAAATAGATCAATAAATTTTAATACTAGAAATATCAAGCAACAAATACTCCAAAACAAAATGAACAAGCATTAAGAAATTTTGATCTAACTGATAATAAAACTATTTTTGCTGATCTTGTTATTCATTTATATGATGAAATTCTCAAAAAGAATTAAAACTAAATTATTATCATTGATTAGTAAGATTATTATTTTTATTTGAAAATCTGACATTATTCTTCTTTTTTTAGTTCCTGCTATAATTGAACATGAAGATCTCGATTCAAGTGGTATTGCTTCTATGAATCCAATTGCTTCTGCATCAACTGCTAATGATAAACGATCAAAATTTTGCAGCAAAGGATCTTCTTAAACAGGTAATAAAAAGTTTCTATTGAAAAAAAAAATTCTACTGAATTCTATTTAGTTAAATGATTATCATAAATTATTTCAAGTGTATTCAGTTGAACCAATTATTGTTCAACAATTATTCAAACAAGTATGTTCATTAATTATTCCATCGAAATAAAAATAATCTATGTTTTATTTTAGATTTTTTATATAATTGATGCTCAAGCTCTACGTGGTTTACTCGTATGAAGTGATTGTTGTAATTGGAGTAAAGCTCTTCAAATTCGGTAACCATTACTTCAATTAATAATAATCATCAATAAAGATTATTTTTTTTTCTCAGTTATAATTTAAACCATTTGACACAACAGTTACGCGATTAAAATTTGCAAGAAAGTGGTGCTGCTGATTGTCTTCTTCCATTAACACAAGCTGTTTAATTATTTCTTCGTAAAAAAGATGAAGCAAGCATTAGTAATGTTTGTACTAAACTTACAATTGTTCAAGTAAAACAAAATTTTTTTTTTTTATTTGAGAAAATGAATAAATTTAACATTATTTTTAGGTAACAAAATTATTAAGTTTATACAAATCAATGGATGATTATGATGATCAAGTAACACCAGCATTAATAAAACGAGCATCTGATTTATTAAAACAACAAAGACTTGGTTCAACAATTGATCAAACAAAAATTGATTATGAACAACAAGAAAATTTTGATCTTTCATATACATTTCCACTTGTATATCCTTATGTTTCATCAACAGTTTCACTTGATCAATTGGATATACCTCATGAACTTCATCTTGATTTTCTTTCACTTGTTTAATAATTACATATTTATTCAAGAAACCAGTATTTCTTCCCTTCAGTTTTTTTATTTTCCATTCACTTCTTTTGCAAAATGATTGCGTTTATCTATTATATCAAAAAAAAAATACATAAATTTCAATGACTCATTCCCATAAATATAACAAAACAGTAATTGAAATAAATCAATCTTATCTTGTCTTATCCTTTATTTTCGTGCACTATGAATTTATATACATATCTAAGAATTCATAGAAAAAAACTAATTATATCCATCCATGACGTTCGAATGAGAACATGTTTTATTTCGAAATAAATCTATTATTGTTACTTAATTATAAATCTTTCATAGTATTATCAATTAAGTACTGAAATAATTAAGTAGAGTAAAGTATCGTAGTTTCTAATATGCAAATAAACAAACGTTTTTTAAATTGGAATATATTGATTTGAACTTCTGAAATTAAAGACAATCAGGATCTTATTTAAAAGAGGACGAAAAAAAAATCAAATAGAACTGTATTTCATAATACCATCATATCGCTCTAGACTTGTTGCATCTATTTTCGATATTAAATAAAGAGTCAAAATTCAATTTAATTTAATCTTCTTTTTTATTGAAAAATAATAATATTAATTATATATAAAAATAAATTATATTCGAAACAACAAGATTTACCACCATAAACATAAATCACAATTATAAACTGTTCGAACATCACCTGCCATCATTAGGGAGATAGTGAGATCAACTCATCACATGATCACAAAAAACATGACGATTAATCAGAAGGGGAAGATAAGCAGTACAAAAGGGCCAAAACAAAAAGATCACGCGATTTTCCAACAGTCCGTTGACAGGTTTAACACAATCATCATGAAGTAATTTTTACTATGAATAAATACAGTCAATTTGTAAAGATCCCATGCAGGTATTCCTGCAATACATAAAAATGATAAACCATGTACATTATGATACTTGTTTACCCAGGTCTATGGATCAGAGATGTCCATCGCGGCTGAAAATCTGCCGCTGCCGCGCCGCGGCCTTAGAAAAAAAAAGCTGCCGCACCGCTGCCGCGCCGCGGCGGTTTATAAAAAAATGTTGCCGCGACGCTGCCGCACCGCGATGACTTATAAAAGAAACGCTGCCGCGCCGCTGCCGCGATGAATTATAAAATAAACGTGCCGCCACCGCGCCGCTGCCGCGACGATTTTCAAAAAAGTGTTTCTAATTTCACTGCTGTGACTATATTTGACCAGAGATATGGGTACTAGTCCATCAGATTTATTCAATATCAGGGCGTTTCATTTGTAAATCGTGAAATTCTATTAAATTCATACAGTTTTTCAATGTCCTCCAAAGAAATCCTGCCGCTGCCGCGATGGTTTTTTAAAAAACCTGCCGCTACCGCGCCGCTGCCGCGATGACTTTTAAAAAAATCTGCCGCTGCCGCGGTGATTTTTTTTAAAAACCTGCCGCTGCCGCGCCGCCACCGCCACCGCGGCAGCGGCGGCGGCGCGGCAGCGCCGCGATGGACATCTCTGCTATGGATACGGCTATCCGTATTTTCACCGTAAATTTGCTTCATACGACACCGTAAACGGACCGTATTTTCTCGTAATCATGGGCACAGTAATACGGCACCGTATACGAGGCCGTATTTTCACAGTATACGGCCGTATACGGGGCGTAATCTCATTATGATCAGGCCGTATTTCTGTGTCCGATATTACGGTCGTATACGGTCCGTTTATGCGTCGTAAGGTAACCGTAAACGGTCGTTTATGGACCGTATCGTTCGACCTGGGTACAATTAAATATTCGACTGTACGTTCAAGTTCTGTAGTGTTTACCTCAACTGTTAAATGTTCCAATCGACGAAATAATTTGATGAACAACTGAATTTTTTTCAATGTATATTTATAAGGCATATCCAATGTTTTAATTAATCTATATTTATAAGACATATCCACCGTTCTAATTTTATTTCTATCTGATACACAACAAAAACGCTTAGTTTGTTGAATTGAATTTAAATTAACATCATTCAAATATAATGGATCACTTTTGAACGTAACTAAATTACAAGTAACATATAAAATATTAATTAATTGTTCAAAAGGCACATCAAAATCTTTGATCACCAATTTACTAAGTTGATCCAATGGAATAATACGATTAATGATATGGACTAATGGTTCATGAGGTATTTCCGCACAATGATTAATTGCCAATTGGTTGACATTTGGAAAATAATTGGCACAATTTGTCTTGGGTAAAGTATCATAAATAAGAATATGTTCGACCGAATTAAAAGTTGTTCCTTGAAATGGACGAATTTCTT